TTTTGGGCATGGTGCAATCCTCTAAGAAGGGATGGAATGAGCAATGAATGTACTAGTCAAAGTCCAGAAACAAGATTAGACGAAAGTTCTGGGTTCTCTTTAAGAGTGAACAGTAATGAAGGTATGCTGGCTGTGAACAATGGTGACATTTTGTTAGGGCTACATGCAAAGTTGAGCACGGTTGAAGGCACTATGGGGATGTTGAAAGTGATAATGATTTTGTCTCTTATTATTTGTTGTTTATCTCTAGTTATTGCTGCTTATAGAAAATAGTAATTTGGTTAGTGGCAGCATAATGATGTACCAAATAATGTAATGATTTTAGTTTATGAAAAAATTTCAAATTTTGTCATGGTTTGTATTCCTGTCTGAAAGAAATATAATTACCATATAACATGTTTACTCATGAACCAACTGTAATTTGGATAGTCATAATATGATAACCACAATTCAATATATGACATTACAAAAAAGAGCAATAATGCCAATAATGTCATTACAAAAAAGAGCATCACTTACAAAATATGTTAATCCATTATACAATATCTCCTCTAAAGATAGCATATATACCATTACAACTTGTTTACATGGACACAAGTCCTAAAAATAACATTCATGATCCTAATTTTTCTTAAATCTTTTGGATCGAGAACTGGGGTTGTTATCAGTAACTGCAGTAGTGCTGCTTTGCTGAGATGCTTGATGCACTGGTGCTTCTCTGGTTGGGGCTGAAGTGGAAGCTGTTGTTGCCCCTCGCTGGGTATTGCTTGCTGGAACTTGCAACCAGAGTCAAAAATTTATTGCTGGAATAATTATCAAGAGTACATAGTGCAAGAAAAATTCAAGTACTTAAATGTACCTTGTACAACTTGGATTTGGGATTAGGAGGTTCCTTACAAGTTCTCCTATTATGGCCAACTTTTAAACATCTCTTATAGTATACTGGCAACCCCTTTTTGGAAGCTCTTTGTGGATCTCTCGGTTCATCCGGACCTCTTATCCTAAGTTTTTTAGGCCTCCCAGGTTGTTTCTTAACAAATGGTGGATTTAACAGCTGCATTCCACTATCAATCCAGTGTTCTTTGGATGGAACAGCTCCAATGCTATAAGCATATGCCCTCAAGTATGCCTTTTTACTATAGCACTCATCGACATAGTTTTCAACCTTCATCTGCATGTTTTGAATAGCAGAAATAGCATGCACACATGAAATTCCAGTCAACTAGAATACACCACATAAACAGCTTCTATGTTGCAAGTTCACAACAGAGGTTCTGTTGAAACCATCAACCTCAAATGATTCAATACCATGAAATACAGCAATACAATGTCTGCTCTTTGCTACACTTTTGGCTAGCTTCTCAACAATGTTTGGACACAATCTGCCTCCATATTTCTCCATGCCTTGCCTCTTCAATATCAATCGTTGCATTAACTTTCTTCTGAAAATTTCAAGAAAAGTCACAATTGGCTCGTCTCTTGCTTTTAAAATGTAGTTGTTGAAACTCTCATTCAGGTTGTTGACTGAAATATCAATCTTAGCAGCCATTCCATAATGTGCTCTAGACCACAAGTGATACGGCAGTCTTTTTAACCAACCAGTAGCAGTAAGGTTCTCTCTATTTTGTGGCTGAGCTATCTCCAAAGCATTCAATGCTCTCTTGAAATCATCAACATTAGTTGTTGATGCAGTAGTCCAAAACAATTTCCTCAGTTCACTGTCTTTGAATTTTGCCTTAAAATTCTCAAACAGATGCTTAAGGCAAAATCTGTGTTCTGCACCAGGAAATAGCTTCTCTATAGCATGTACCAGTCCTTTTTGCCTGTCAGAAATGAAGGTATAAGGCACTACATTACCCCTTCCAATATGAGTAATCAGTTATTTCAAAAACCAAGTCCAGCTATTATAGTTTTCTGCTTCAACAATGGCAATGGCTATAGAAAACATATTGTCATTCCCATCCCTTCCAAGTGCTGCTAACAGCTGACCTCCAAAGGGCCCCTTCAAAAAGCAACCATTTAGGCCAATGATTGGTCTACAACCTGCAAGAAAACCCTTTTTAAGAGCACCTAAGCCATAGAACAGCCTTTGAAATGTTGCCCTTTTCTCAATAGACCTCCTGTCTATTTGTATAGCTATATGACTGCCTGGATTTGACTGTCTAACCGTGGCAGCATAATCCCACAGCCGTTCATATTGCTCCATATCACAACCTTTGATTGCCTCTCTGGCCTTCCTCTTGGTCCTGTATGCTTTTTTGCTACTTATATTAACCATGAATCTTCTTCTGGCATCATTAATAATGCCATCCAAGCTGCAATTAGGGTTATCTCGAACCTTCTCTTGAAACTTTCTGCTCAGATAAGTCGAGGTTGCATGCTTGTTAGTGTACTCTCTGCCGCAATGGTGCTCTCCTTTTAGTGTTTTGATCTGAAAAGTATCAGTCCTATTAATTCTGCTTGCATGAATCCTCCAAGAACATCTTTTTGCACATTTCGCAGTTATCCTCCAACTGTCATTGTTGACATATAAAACTTAGTATCCTTCTCTAATGTTCCATTCCATAAGTACTTCTCTAAATTTTGTTAAATGAGTGAATTTTTTTCCAACCTTTAATTCAAATTTTGGCTTGTTAAACTCCACTGAAGCATTGAAATATGAGTAGTTAGGCCCATTTTCATCACCAGAATATAGGAAGTCTTCATCTGTAGTCACAGGTTCATTCCATTCCTCACTGTCAGGGCCAATAGGTTGGTCTCCTCCATGCTGATACTGTGTTGTGGACTCCTCGCCTTGTGCTTCCTCATGTTGTTGCTGTTGCTCATTCAAGTCTTCAGTTTACTGATGTTGTGCTGTGGACTCCTCACCTTGTGGTTGCTGATGTTGTTGCTGCTGCTCATTCAAGTCACCAATTTGCTGATTTGTTTGAGGTACAGTTGAACCAGCAGTTGCAAAGATGTCCTCATCTTCTGCAAATTCTAGACCCTCTCTCAACCAATCCGGATCAAGTTCTTCGTTTCCATCACTGTGGTGATGCTGTTCATTATTAACTTGATTCTTCTCAACAGAGGTTCTGTCAAAGTTACAGTGCTGTTCATTGTTGACTTGATTGGTCTCAACAAAGGTTCTGTGAAAGTTACATTGATTTTCACATTCTTCTTTACTTTGGTTCACTGAAGAAACCTCTTGCTGGCTGTCGACAGCATCTATTCTGGTTGTTTGCTGAAATAATTTTTTGATAGTTTTTCTAGCTGTTCTCTTCACAGGTTGCATCACAGTTTGTCTCTTTCTCGATGGAGTTTTACCACCCTTTCTTATGTTTTTCTTAGTTGGTTCGAAGGGATTTTGTGTGCCATCATTAGTTTCTACAGCAGTTGGGCCATCTAAATCATTTTCTTGCCCTCTTGCATCACCAACATATGGTTCAAAACCAGTCAGATCAACAGGATTTTGTGAAGCTCCAGCACCTTTTCTAGTCAGATCTAAATTTATCTCTAAAAAACCTTCATTGTACGGTAAAGCAAGTGGACCATCATTCGTCACTCTTTCGAATAAGAGCTTACCATCCGGTGAGACAATTTTGAGAGGGCTCTGACCTGCCTCTACATATATATGCATATAAGGAAACCCTTCATAATAGGTAGTCAACAATTCTATGTTCACGTTATCATTTATTAGGATAACACCTACATCCACATCATGATCTGGAATGGAATACCAAAATTTTGCACATGCCGCTTCCTTTTCAATTTTGGAGTACAGGTTCAATAATGAAAATGTTGATAACTCATGAGGGTCGCAATTGTGAAACACTCTCACTAAATCACTTGTATATCTAATATTGGGATGATGTATAAACCGCCCACCATAGTGCATGTGGATATCCACTGCCCTAAAAGGATCTGACATGGTCCCTGTGAGGACCCGAAAATTTTGCTTATTTTATTTATTTTATTGGCTCAAATAAGTATTTACTCATCCGATTTCTCCGATTATTATTTTCTAACCTTTTTAGGCCTAATGAAATGTATCCATAGTTTAGTTATATTTTTAAAGCGATTCGTTTCGAAATTTAATTTCTGAAGGCTCGTTAGGTGAAAATAGTAAATACGCGACTGGAGTAAATAATCGATTCGAGAAATTACATATATTTTGAATTTATTTTATTTTCTTGAGTTATTAAAACAAAAAAAAATAATAATAATAATTTATGTGAAAAATAATACAATTGTGCCAAATATTAAATTAATTGGTTTTGTTATACTAAATTAGTATTTCTAGAGTCAGATTAATATTATTGCCTTAAAATAAATTCTTTAAATTCCGATAGCTAAGTTTAATCGTTAATAATGTTAAGGGTTAATAGGAACCTTAGTATTAAAATGCAGTTGATAAATTTTAGACAAAATCGATACAAGTATACTAAGTATACTTAGGACGTAAAAACTTAGATAATTGAACTTTTGCGAGATTAAAATACTAGTAGGTTAACAAATTGCATTTGAAGTAAAATTTTGGAATTAGCTTACGAATGAGGATTTAAGTGGAAGGTCGAATAAGATGCTAAAAGAGCAAATCAGCCCTCCTCCATTTCAAAATTAACCATGCCCGTATTATCTCCATTTCCGCCATTGGAAATTATTACATACGAATTCATAGATTAACTAAACATATTTTAGTGCTACGTTACTCGTTTAATCAATTTCCTAAAAATTCGAATGTGTAAGAATTGTGAGGTTAAGGAGATAGAAATAAGATTAGGAGCTAATAAGGGATTTAAGGAGAAAATTTCAGATTGGTAACTTGGATGTGTTAATGTCGAAAGGCTAAACTAATCCTTCATATTAACCAATCCATTATACGACCAATAGGCTATAAATTGAGTGGGAAGCTTAGGACCTATCAATCTACCGACTGAAGAAGCATTGCGGGCTGCCTTGATATTAACGATAGAGAGGAACAATAAAAGGAACAAGAGGTATCGAAACTCCTCGGGCAAGCTTCAATCTCAACACTTCATCCTCGCTGGATCCATTTCTCCACTGCAGCACTACATCTTATAAACTACCGGCTCATCTCCACAATATTCATTTCATTACACTAGCTCCCCTCCATCACAACACCCCACTACCACTTTCTCCTCGGCCACGAACCGAGAGCGAAAAGAGCCTTCCGTTTCTGTCTCTGTCCGTAAGCTTGAGGGAAAGAGAGAGAGACTTGTTGTTTTATTCGTCTCACCTGCGAGCTGGTGAAGGGGACCGAGAACCATCACTTTCTTCATCAACTCCACCGCCTGCAACAGCCAAGCAAATCAACCAAATCCCAAGCCCATCAGTAAGCCGAGAGAATCTTCAACCAAGAGAGGAAAAATATTTCTGGTTCCTCTTTGTTTTAGCTTGCAACCTCATACCTAACAAACCTTATTTAACCAAATCAAAACAGAGAGGGGAACTTGGCTGATTCATTTTGATAGCAGAAACCGTGAGCCAAAAGTGAGAGAGTGAGAGAGATAGCTTGGCTAGCTTCTTCATTAGCTAACACTTCTCTGTTCCGTGTGTAAGCTGAGCAAGAGAGGGAGGAACGGTGAGCTGCGCTCTGCACTGACGAGACGAGAGAAAACTTGCAGCCGCTGGTCGCGCAACTTGAGCCTTAAGCCGAGGTAAAATCTGGTCTTAGATTAGCTAATTATAGGTAGATGATGTTGTTTTGAAGTTTGCATGTGAGGATGATGCGGTTGGATGATGAGTTAAAGCACCAGAAATTCTGATTCTTAAGAAAATTGAAGCTGCCAAGAGTTTGAGCTGGGAAATTTGTAACTGTAATTCGATAATCTGAGCTTAATTGTATGTTTAGCTAACTAAAACCTGGACAATTATGCTTCGCATGTGGGTATCAGTCTTGATTTTGCAAGAATTGAAGGAAATCAGCATCTACTTGCATGCAAGCTACCCGAGAGGAAGAAAATAAAATTCTGGTTGGTTGATGTTTTGTTTTTCTTTCTTGGAGATGACCGAACTCAGCTGCGGATTAAAATCTGGATAATTATACCTTGCGTGATGTTAATAAGTTTTGATTAGGTAAGAAAAATTGAGAAGTGCAGAATCCGCTTGCATGCAAGCTAACCGAGGAGAAATTGAATGAATTTATGGTTGATGGGTGATTTTGTTGTTGTCCGAACTTGGCTATGGTTTGAAATCTGATTCTGGAACCAAAACGGATAGGTAGTCAATTAATCTAGCCGTGCCTGTGATGCTTGAGCCGAGGATAGGATAGAAAAAAAGAAAAAAAAAAGAAAAGGGGAAATCTGAATTTCTAGAATTCCTTGTGAAGTGGAGCTGCCGTGACTTTCTTTTATGTTCTTGAGTTAAAATTTTGGTTAAGTTGTTGAAAAAATTGATTGTTGGATGCTAAGAGCTAATGATTGATGAAACTCTTGGCCATTTGAGTAATTTTTTACAAGTGCTAAATTCTTGGTGAAATTGTTTAAATAGCCGGCCGAAATACACTTGGAAAGTCGACAAATTTTGGTTGGAAAATTGGTGAGTGAGCTCTATGAAATCCCACAATGACTTGGATGATCTGATTAGCTAGGATTGGATGCTGATTGTGTTGATTAAGTGCTAATTTAGTAGAGTTAAGTGGAAAAATTGAAAAGGAAGTCAAATGAGGAGTTGCATGTGAAGATGCTGTTTCTGCCCTGCTATTTTCGTGCAATTTAGTGTAATTTCTTGAAGGCCAATTGACTTGTTTCTGATGCAAATGTGAAATATAGGCTGTGTTTAAAGTTTCCTCGAAATTTTACGTAATTCGGGTGAGTGTGTGTTGAGATTTAGAAAATCTGCCAAAACTGGGAAATGATTCCCGTCACTACTAGACAGCCAGATTGTTTTGGCCATAACTCTGTACTCCGATGTCAAAATTGAGTGCCGTCAGTGGCATTTGAAACTAGACATTCCTAGCTTTCCATTGGTACCAAATGCACATTCTGGTTCCACTTGAGTAAGCCACACCATTCGATTGAAAATCACTGTCCTGTTTCATTTCTCTCTAGGAGACAGGACAGGACTTGTATCTTGATGCTCAAAAACGAGTTGTTTGTGAATGGAATTTGAAAATGATTTCTTCTGTGAAATTATAGCCCTACAAATGTATTTTCCAACGCCACCAACCATACTCAATTCCGAGTTAAATTGAGTGATTTGTGATCAAAATACGGAACCTGCCCTGCTCTTGGAAATCCTAACTTTTGGACAGATTTGATGCAAGGCTTGGTATAGACTTGCTAATTAAATTTCTTGGTGTTAAACACCCACCAAAGGTACCATGAATGTTCTTTAGATTTTGCCTATACAAATGAACCATCTTTAGAGGATTTTCTCTTGGTCAAAAGTTTAGAAAAGGAAATTTTCATACACAAAGCAGCCTTGCCTTAAAATTTTGGAAACTTGAGTGATTTTGTTAAGTGACTTCCCGTGCATATTTTTCTATGAAATTTGACAGAGGAATAGCCCTTATATGGTAGTATTATACTGCTAATTATGGTGTTATTCTGAGACCGTTTCATGACTCAAATAAATTACCAAAATTTATGACTTGAGTTTGAAAACCTTTGTTTAACAAGAAAATTTTAGTAACTTTGAGCTACCGTATCTTGGTGCTCAAAACTCTGTTTCTCATTCTGTCTGTTTTGTTATACTCTTGGTTTACAACACTAATTGAGTTACAAATTTCAAAGGCTAGTTCCAATCAAGTGAATTTTGCCGAGTTTTCAAAATTGGCAAAAAACCAACTTAAATCTGCCTTATGAACCAAAACAGAGATTTTGAGCTTATTTTTGAATGCTTTCCATGTGGAATCTTAGAAAAGTGTATTCTAGGAACTTTTAGTACTTTGGAAGAGATTTCCATTGGTACCAATCTTTCTAATTTTTGACATGTAGAATGTGAGATACGATTTTTCAAAGTATCGTATCAAAACTGAAAATTTTCTGAATTCCACAGAAGGGAGTTTTTCAAGTACTCCTTATTCCTTCGATATTATTCAAATGTTTTATCCTTGATTTTCATGATGTAGACTTAATTTCTCTTGTACCTTGAAACCCCGCTGGAGAATCTCGATTTAGGATAATTAAGGTTTGTTTCACGAGATTTTTCCTAAGATTGTACTATGATACGATCTTCATCAATAGTAAGGATTATAAATGATAGACTATTACTATTTGTTCAGGCGCACACGAGAACCTTCAAGAGGATCCGACAGAGGACGCTTGAACTTCAAATTGAACCTATTGCTCTTGTTGCTAGGTGAGTGTTCCATATAGGAATACGTAATTGAATAAGTCTAGGACATGCTCATTTCATGATTATTAAGTGTTAAGTTTTTACCATACTCATGTCTATATAAATAATGAATACTTGCATTGTATACCGACATGAATTGGTTAAATGATTAACCATATCAAATGACTATATAAACTCGATACATGTTTAATTTGCTAGATTACTTGCTTAGCCTACTTGGTTTTGTAAAATGAGTATCCCTGCTTGTTCTATACTTATTTGGTTAAAGTGCTTTCTTGACTCGATATGTGATAATTTAGAAAACGATTTTTGATCCATCGAAATGAGCAGTGTGTACTTTATCACACTAGCCTTTCGAGTGGTGACTTGTGTGAAATGTTTTCGTAAATATCTTACGTGTTGTGACGTCGTTGGGGTGAATCCTTCGACCAGTTTACGTGTTGTGAATCTCCTCGACTCTCGCGTGATAAAAATAAGATAACGGCCAATGATGGCCTATTAATATGGCAAATGCCTGTCAAATAACCGTCACTACTCAACCGTTAACCGTTTACCAACCCACATGACTATTCGATATCTGTGAATTACATGCTTCCATGAAATCAACTTGTATTGCTTACGTGCTTACGTGCTAAGTATCCACTTGATTACTTGATTATCATGAATCACATGTTATATGAAATTGTCTATCATTGATAGGCGAGTGTGTACTTTACCTCACTTGACCTACTCAAATGATGAATTTTACCTTTTGTCGAATTGCTTGGTTACCTGTGCATGCTGTAAGCTCTAAGCTGAACTTGGGCCCTGCCTCGGTTACTGACCTACTCGAGCCAGGACTGGGCTCGGTCGGGTAGGTTGAAACCCTGGACAACCGTTTCGGTATACTCGAGTACTACCACTGGAGGGATAAGGTGATGGCCAGTCAAACCGAGGGGATCCGGAAGTCATAAGGTGCAGATGACCGATGAAGTTCCACTGGAACACCGTATCCTACAGTATATGTTTACCTTGTATCATAACAATTATTTCATGCTAAAATACCAACATGAAATCATGAACTATACATGCTCAATGTCTCATACCATGATAAATGTCTCAAATTACCGTATAATGATTATCACCTCATGATAACATGCCATTATGTAACGTTGAACCATTACATATGATATGCCCGACTTTCTTGATTTGTTTGAACTGTTAGAGTGTCTTGGAACCTCACTGGGTTGTGTAGCTCACCCCACGTCATTTATTTTTCCTGACAGGTCCTGGCAAATGGGCCGATCTGAAACCTAGTTGTATTTTCTTATGAATGTAATTGAATCTTATGACTTCGCTTTGCGGCTTGTAATGTATAATTATATTTACATAGATCGGATTGGGAATATGTTAAATTTAGGCGAATTTTTGTCTTGGATTGCCACTTGAAGCTGGAAAAGTGTAAAACCTAGACTTGTTATGTAGCTTATATGAATTTGTTATTTGGGATTGTCGGAATTTATTCAGTGATTTGTAATGCGTAAGGTTTAAGAATCGATGATTAGCTATCCTATAATACTGTTATCTCTGAAGTTAATGTGGTTTTAGTAATTGATTTATTTGGAGAGAAACGATGTTGTAATAATCTAGGTTATACTTCGGAAGGATTTGACTAGCTTGCTTGCATGAGTCCTGGCGAGAGTTAGGCAGACGGCCCGCCAATCCTCTGGTTCGCCTTAGGGGGAAGTGGGGTCGCCACAGTCCCCAACCTAAATTATTTATTCAACACTTTTAGAATTCAAATATAGATTAATAAACTATATTAAGCTACATCACACTTTCAAATTATAACAATAATTAGTTATAACAACAATCAGATTATTAAGTGAAATCTGATTTGTAGTCAATTCCAAACCTGACACATATTATTTCCTCCTGACATCAACCACATACTCCAAAAAAGACCCGCATTCTCCAAAAAAAGTTAAAAAAGTTAAGATCTTTACATTTTTAAACCCCATTTTCTCTGATAAATCACCTAAATATGGACCACCAACTCTAAAATGACAGATATGGGGTAATGTGGAAAAGGAATAAACAAATTGGAAAAGGATTACAAATCCTAAATATTAAATGGACTGAATATTGAACAATAAGTTCTGATTCTTACCTAGAAATGTCGAACAAGCTTCACGATCAGATTTCCTCACCAATCTGTCTTTCCCTTCTTCGCGACCGAATGCAGCCACGGCGTTTTCAACTCAAATTCACGATATTTCAGCAACAATTTAGTATACAAATCCCTTGTCTTAGGGTCTTTTTCCTTACACAGGATGAACGAGAAAAGAGTCAATTGTTCATCCTCTCTCCCTCTCTATTATAAATGAGGGTATTTTGGGTATTCGACCTGCAGCTGGTAACTTAGCTTGTTAAGAAGTCTATTTCCACTTTAGTTATGAAGTTTAGGGCGTTTATGTGTATGTTTCTAAACGATAGGGGGGTTTCGTGTCTTTTCGCGAAACCATAGAGGGGTTCTGTGTATTTTACCTAAACTTTTTCGTCACTTTTTCTTTTTCTTTGTTTGCCATCCTTAGAAAACTAAATAGTAGAAACCTTCAATAACAGCCAATAACTTCTTTTTCTTTTTTCTTTTCTTTATTTAACAATATTAAAAAAATCCATTACACAACCTAATAAAACCTTTTAATAATTGCTCATTATTTTTTCTTATAATTTTTTTTTTAATTCACACACACATAGGATGTGCATTTTTCACTAGTATATGTTAAAATGTTGAGAGGCAAAAAAAATTGAAAATTAGGAACAACGAACTAAGTAATTTTAAATTTTAATTTTGCAAGCAAGTCAATAGGCACAATATTTGCACATTCGTATTTTTTTTACGTAGCAAATAATTTTCATTTTCATCACTCCTAGTTTTTTTAGAAAGTTCAACATTTTGTAGTACAAGGAAGAGATAGAGAAAGAACGAGAGAATAAGGATAATATGCTTTAAATTTCAAGGTTCAACATTGAAAAAAATATATCATTTCTTCACACTATTAAAACATTTCCTAACCACTCTCCGCAAAAAACAAAGTGCCTGAAATTACAAATTTCAGTTGAAGATAGTAACAAATGTAAGATGAAGATAAATTTTTTTTTCTTAAACTATTATTTAGAATATAATTCCCAAAATGTATGTTTAATGACAGTCCTGTCAAACTCAGCCCCATATTTTTCTAGGATGAGTTGCAGGATGCTCCCTGAAATCTGACTAATTCGTAATTTATCTTCTAAATTTAATAATTCATTGTACTTGGATATTACCCTAAATGGATATTGCCCTAAACCATCAAAGTATGGCACTATGATGGAATCAGTCTCAAGCCTATAAGTTTTTCCATATAATCCTGAATCAAAAGGCTTCACATATGCTGCTGACAAATTTATTTTATGAGTACTATAGTCTTTTTATTCAGAAGTAACTGGCAAAGTTAAGTGATTTTCAATTAGTTTGAGCAATGCATCACAAAAAGTAATATTACAAGATACACTTCAATTAAATTTTTTTTTTCAATTCAGTTGTATTTTTAGATTATGTGACTTAGAAAATCAAACTAAATGAGGAGTGCCATCTAGGTATAATGCACTCTTATGTTGTTTTTTCTTTCTTGATATATAACTGAACACTTGCATATACTGTTTTATTGAGTTAATACAAAATAATTTAAAAGTTTCAAGTTGTGTTCTTTATAATTGACTTTTTTGGTGAAACCATATCATGTTGTCACCTCTCGAGTTATCCTTTTTGTCTTTTTTTTTTTCATTCTAATTTAAAGAAATATATGCAATATATATGCTTTCAAGTTTTAACTCGAGAAGGGATGGGTTGGATGATATAGGAGAAGGGACTGTAAGTGAGAAATCTGATTTTCAAATCTCCCACTTACTTACACTAAAAAAGCGCAAAAAAAAAAAAAAAGAAGAAGAAAGCCAAAACCCCCGTAAACATGATTCCATACGGCTTTTTCTTTTTTATTTTTATAAACAAATAAAACATGAAAAAATATCACTGTTGGTTTTATAATCTGTGCTGTAAATATATAACTGAAAGAATCCTCAGTTTTTGAAAAATTATTACAATATTTTTTTATTTATCACATCATAAAAAAGTGCTATAATATCATATTCCAAAAACCTTTTCAATATAATCTTCAATCCAAACATAGTCGAGGTTTATGATGCATGAATAAGTACCTGTATGAACGTGTATAGTTCAATATAAGAAAACATGACTACAAACAAATATTCCTTTATTCTGCCACCTCCTCAAAGTGACAAATTAAGCAGGATAAAAAAAAAGGGAAAAGATACACAAAATTCAACCCCCAAAAAAAAAAATTTTACAGATGAAGTGTAGTATCAACATCAGAAACGTCAGGCTTTTGTGGTCTTTTCACACCCCTTTTGTCATGAGCAGACCATAAGGCACTAAATGAAGGTCGAGTAGTACCACTGCTCTTGAGAGATCGATAATCTGCATGCTTGTTGTTCAAGTTTAGTTCCAAGGAAAGTGGATCTTGATGAAAAGGCGCAGCTGGTCTTGATGGAAGAAACATTTGATGATGATCCTCAGAGAAGGAGTTGTTGTTGTCGTTGTTGTAGTTTGTTGGGACGATAATTCGTTTGGCCTCTGATATTGATGAGAACGTACTCATTTGTCTCTCCTCTTGTCTCTTCTCCTTTATTCTTTCCAGCTTCTTGAATCTTTCTTGTAGCAAAGCAATGGAAGGACCAACAATGGCTCCAGCAGGATCACCATCTTGGCGTCCCATCTGAGCAAGAATGGCTATAAACACCTCAAGAATAATACCCTTCAAGGAGATGTATAGCAATGAAGTTTGAGGGCTTTGAAGGGTTGAATATTTGCCTATATAAACGATGAAGTCCTTGTCAGTTTGCTTTTTGGTTTAAGGATTTTGCAGCCTCCTAGCAGAATCAAAATGACGTATCAGGGAGGAGAATCGGCGACCTCGGTACAAAGTCCAAGAAGAACTGCTTAAAGACTAAACCTTAAAAATGAAGGTAGATTTGGTATAAGTGATGGCAAGAGAACTTTTTAATAGGGCAAGATGGTAGAGGAAAACGTCCAAAGAAGTTGGCATTTTGCTTTTGGAAGAGCTGTTATGGAGGAATAACCGGTTAGGTCGTCTGTGTCGGCTTGTCTTTATCAATTTTATTAGCAAGATTAATGGTATCGCTATCGGTGGAATGGTGATAGGAGAGATGAGTTCATGCACAAATTGACAAGAATTGGCATGAATTTTTAAGATAAGTTGGAAGCTACGTGAAGGAAAGATGGCACCTAACATGATCCTTTCCATTTCACACTTGATTAAGATAGAGGAATTACGATGGACATTTGGCATAGTATACAGTTGGCAAGCTTAATTACAAATTTAATAACTGCAATCAAATCTTCCTACATTATCTTTGTAAAGATTAGAAGGGTAAGCAAGTCTAATTAAATCAAATACCCGAGTATTAAACCTTGTTTGATTATTTTGACGAGTTTGAAATTTTATTCAACTCTGACTTGTTTAGTTATTATCGAATCGAGATTAAGCGAATTTTCTATCGAATTTGAAAGTTATCGAATACAAAATACCATTCAAGTTTAAATTGACTAATTAGCAAATCAAACTTGAGGGAGCTTGATTCGAGTATCGAGTAGTTACTTCATTTTTCAGCTCTAGTCATGATAACAAATTTCTCATAATTTGCATAAAATTTGGTTATACTTCTAACTTTGGAAAGGCATTTGTGCAGTAAGTAATTTTCCTTCATTAGAGAAAACAATGCTTGTACTATTTATTTGGAAGTAGCATGAAAACATTCTCATTGGCGGCTTTTGCGTTTTTAATGATTTTAGATGGTCAAATACCCTAACGTGCAAAATTGGGATCGAATTCTGATTTTATCATCAGTTCCTTTTGGCTTGTGTTTTCTGGTCATGGTAAGACCGTATATTCCAAGGAAATGTGTCAAGTGACGCCAGAACCTTGCTCTCTGAAACAAACAAAAGTTTAACATTTTTAATACCTATTGTGGACAATGATCAAAGAATAGTTGGATTTTGTATTGTAGTAAGGTTTTGTATTAATTTGGATTTTGCTAATGCAGTCTGCAAATGCAAACAAACAATCATAGAAGGATAACTTAGTGGTAAAAACAGGAATTAGTCTCTGATTATATCAACTGGAAGTGTCAGATAAGCATGAATCCATAAGAAAATGGATATACACGCAAGACGAACTCAAATAGTTCGGTTTATAACAATTCTTTCAAGATTCTAAAAGTTTCATTCAAGACTTGTTGACATTTTCTGCAGATTTTTGAAAACCTAATGATAAAAAATGATTAAATCAGAATCATCCTATCCAGGTCCAACTTCTTTTTACTGCTTCTTTTCTCTAAATTCCTTTCTCTTCGGGAGGAAGATCACCATAGGTTTCGTTTTTATTATTTTCTTGGTCTCCCTTTTTTCCTTCCATAGATTTTGTTTTTGTTATTTTCCTAATAAAGTTTCTCTTAAATTTTCTTAGTGGGAGATAACTATTTCTCCTTGGGTTCCTAGTGAGATTTTGTGTTATTTTTCATTGTTTTGTTATTTAAATTTGAATTTACTTCAGATCTGGGAGATCTGAATTTATTTCATATTTGGGTCTATGTCGACAGATCTCATTATCTTTATTGGAGATTACAACTGTTGATTGACAGATCTGACGATTGTTACATGCATAGAGTGGGCTGCAGTGATTTATTCTATGAGAGGATGATTTTAAAATTGATGGTACTTTTTAAATCTGTTCTTAATTTATCAGGTCTTTTGTATCTGTTAAATTACAAATCTACAATTTTAGTGTATGTTTTATCTGCCATTAGGGCAATGATGTATATCAATGGTGCTGGACGATTTCCAGCAATTCGTTAATGAAATATGTTTTGTTATAAAAAAAAATCAAAATCATCCTTGAATAAATTCTAAATTTTAACTTTTTTTATTATTAGAAAATTTGAAATCTAAAAAGATAGACAATGACATCATAAAAACTAATTATTTAACATCAAATCTGAAATCAATATGAATAATCAAATGAGAACAGACTCTTAATAATCGTTTTTATATTATCACCATTGATTTAATAATAAAATGTTTAGATAGATACTTATTTGGTAATAGCCATAACTTGTAGTTTCTAAATAAAAATTTAAGATTTACTAAATAGTTTAAATTCCATTAAGAAAAATACTTCATTAGAACTTACAAGGAGAGAGACAAAATGAGATATTAGGATAATTTTTAAAAATATATAAAGTAACAAATTATTATTTACGATTTAGACCAAAAGCTCCTTTCCATTCATATATGGTATAGATAATTTACTAGTCTAATAAGAAAATAAAAAGCTTGCCAGAGGAGTAGTGGAGAAAAGTAAAATATGTATTTACCAAAATTTCAATTCCAGGAATAAAGGAAAACCTCCATTTCAATTTACTAAATGACCATAATGCCCTTGGTCCGCCATCTTCCTTCAGCCAATCTCCTCTCTGCATCTTTCTCCAAACCCCTGCGTTTCCTCTCAATGGCGACCAAGACCCACTTGGATTCCATCGATTCCCAGGTCAAAAACGACCCCACAAGTCTCCAAAATTACCCAGTACCCCTGTCCCCACCACTGCCCTCCATATCCAAGAACATAGAGCTCAACAGAGCCTTAACTGCTTCTTCAAGATCGTCCCTTTTTTCTCTTTCAAGAAATCATGTGCTTTTTGAAGACCAGTGGCTCATTGCTATTAACAAGCCTCAAGGGATTTACTGTGAGAATGTCTTGTCTGCTGTCCCGAGCCTACTCACCGATTCCACTGACTCAGGTAAAGTAGGGGCATAATTCAGCTCCTAAAAATTTGGAATTTTTATTTTATTTGATATTAGTATTATTGTTTTGCAGTTGCTGTTGAATGGGTTTGTAGTTTCATAATTTAGTAGCGTTGATTAAAAGTTTAGATTATATGGGGTTCGTAGATACAATGCTACGTGTACAGAAATTCCAAGTAGGAATGATTGTCGTGTGTGATGAATTCAACCCCTGCCAATGTAAGAAGTTGTTTATATCGTAGTATATACAAAATTAATCCTTTTGTCATATTCTTTGAGTTGAGAATATTGCTACCAAATTGCTCTACCTCTTGAACTTCTTCTTTACATTTGATGGAATGTGTATTAACGAGTAATGGATCTAGAAAGAAACGAAAAGAAAAAAAAAGTGAAGTTTGGGGGCTAAGTGCTTAATTGAAAGCAGGATGAGTAATAAAGATAGTTAGGTGTGTGACAGTGTGAGAGAGATAGAGATGGAAGATGTGCACAATATTTTGCCTTTTCCATGGTTTTTGAATTTGGATGACTAGTAGGGAAGGTAAGAGGAGGAGGGCTTAATTACTCTTACAGATTTGTAAATGCTCTCACAGTTTAGTAATCTTCGGTTGACAGTCAAAATTAAAGGGTAAGATGGTTGACTAAGGGTTGGAATGAGAGTAAAAGTGTAAAACTAAATTAGTTGTGGCTTGATAACCTCTGAATACTTTATTTCATTGGCATTCTAAGAAATCCAATGTTTATTTTTCTCTAGATGTTGTCATTATTTATACTTCAGAAACTAAGTTAGTTTTGGCTTTACAACCTCCGAATTCGTTATTTGATGGACAGTCTAATAAATCCAACTGCAATGTTGATTTTTCTTTAGATTTTGCCATTATGTTGGATGCATTCTGATAATTGTCAAATGAAACAAAATAGTGAAGAAGTTAGTGTTACAATCGGGCTCAGAAAATTTAAAAAAAAAGTATTATAATTGGATAGGGTGGTTAAATATCATCATCTGAGGTCAAGTTTCCTGTAATTTGATTTCCAGGGACTGAAGTGAAGCTGACGGAGCTTCATCTAGCTAATAGACTTGATCGTGACACTAGTGGTATCATGATAATTACCAAGTCACATAAAGTGGCTGCCAAGCTTGTAAAAGCTTTTACAGAACACAAGGTCAGGAAAACATACATAGCTTCCTGTGTTGGTCAAGCTCCAAAATGGGTAAATATCACAATGAAGTCCGGTCATGGACGATCAAGGTACGGAGCCTGGCGTGTTTATGCTGCTTCAGATGTGGGCAAGACACTACCAGGCGGATCAATTGTCAAGGATATGGAAACCTTATTTGAAGTGCTATCAGTAAATGGGCAGGGGCAATTTAAAGAGTTTTCTGAATCAGGAAGAGACATATCAGAAGTTATGATTATTGAACAGAAATCTGAAATTGATTGCAACTTGAAGAAAGATGAGATTTTGGTAAGAGCATACCCCAAGAGTGGAAGAACACATCAAATTCGCTTGCACTGCCAGTACCTGGGAATGCCTATTAGAGGGGATGTAAAATATGAAGGTGCCTATGAGTGGAAAGAAAGAACATATGATGGTCATGAGCTTCACGCAGAGAGCTTGTCCTTTGAGCATCCTGTTACTGCTGAAAATGTGTTAATTCAAGCACCTCTACCATCGTGGGCTTGCCAATTTTTTGAGTCTGAGCCATTGTGGACAAACTAAAGCTTTCAAAGTTCTAGGAATCATGTAGCAAGATACTACTCCTGTTCAGTTCCACAATAGCACATTAGTCCTGATTTACATTCATTATTAACAAGCCGCAGAAGGTTTTGGTGCGCTGCTTAATGAGATAACTTATTGCATCTGTGTATTGCTGTCGATGATATAAGGTTTGTGCTTATTCCTTTTTTAACTAGAAACTGATGGATATTCTTGGTGAAATCACTAGAATTGGATTTTGTGCAAAATACTTTACCTGTGCATCTGGTTGCTGCATAATTCTGATTCTGACAGGCTTGCAAGACAATATTTTGTTAATAAATTGTACAATAACATAACCATATGATTGTTGTTAGTGCAACAGAAATTTTTAAAAGGCTAGATAACATCAAAATGGTATTGATGAATCTCATGCATCTTCTGGTCAATGTACTTTTGAATGTTTCTACTTTCAAAACAATTGCTTTTTTGAATATCTCTGCCTTCCAATAAAATTATTGTCAGGTTATAGAAGTTACCCATCACTGCATAAGACACTTAAAGAAGTCACCTTTTTCTCTGTTAATTTGATGAATGGGAGCTTGTCATTATCTACCTATATTACAAGCTGGTCTTAACAATAAGATGCTCATTCTCAAAGACTTCAGGACTATGAGAAGGTGACTACATATTGGGTTAAATAATTATCTAACAAGGATATATGGTATAAAAATGAATATAGATGTACCTAACTGATACCCTGTCCCCTCTCCCAAAGAGGAAAAAAAACTCCTTGTCAACAAAATGTATCATAATAGAAGCAGGAAAAGAGCTGCTAAGTGGTTTCCTATGAACTGGTCAGTGTATCTAAATTTTTTCTATTAATTGGTAGGATTTTGTTCTTTCTGTGGTTATAAATTTTGGCATCCTTGAGTTGAAATGTACAAGAGTTAGAGTAACCTTATTCTGACAGTTGACTTCACTTAATGAGAATGTTGGCCTTGATCTTGTTTACATAAAATGACTTACTGTTCTGGATGTATACGTGTAAAAGGTGGGAGGCGCCAAAGAATTGGAGCTATCCTGGGGTGTTATTCTGTCTGTTCAACATAAATTTTGAATTAGCCTTTCTTATCCAAAGTAATTGAAAATTCACCGAGTAAAACAATAATTACTGAATGTCAAATAGCACCTTTTTCAGGAAAAATCAGTGCTTCTATACTCAATATAGCATACTTTGTTACCTAATCATGCCCCAGTATCTAAAGAAGTCGTTGATTGATACTGCAAGCCTTGTTTTACTGGGTAGTTTACTGGTTTACAAGGAAGAGTGGGTGGTGTTCAGTTTCTCAGTTTGAAGAGTACTCAGTAAACACTCCGTCTAGTTGTTTGATTGGGTTACTTTTCTCACTTAGCTGAATTTGCCTGTTGCTGCTTCAGACTAGTTAGAGCAAGAAGCAAACCAGCTTCAATTGAATGGCTTGGGCTTGAGTTCATGTTAAAGTTCTTTCTCCTAGACTGATTTGGTTCTGAGAGTATGTGGACCTGGGCAAGGCTTGAATGCAGTTTGAAATTCTTCTTATTGATTTATCTCCTGTCTTTCTACAACGATCAAACGTCACACTGACCATGAGATTATTAAACATATCCCTACTTGGTTGAGTTTAAGAAATTGAGTTTGGGTCGCCCTCATACTCAAACACAATATTCAGTACAAGCCTAATCAACTGTTAGCTCAGCTCAGGCTTGATAATTTTTCCACCCTTATTTAACTTGTACTACTACATTAGGGACATGAATAACACACTATATTTTTATCTAGTTCAACTCATAATAATACCTAGGATGATGGACATTGGAAGTCTCCAAGAGTTACTCCACTGGCTTTGAGCTGCATGAATAAGTATAGTAATATCCACCTATCGATTGAATTTTTGACATATGGAACTTCATATGATGCAGAATCATGCGATTTGGAGATGAGATTGCTCCTACATTGCAGCAGATGGACTAGTGCATAATTGAGGTATAAGTAATCATCTTTAAATTCAAAATGAGCATCTCAGGGATTACTGCAGCGAGGAACATACACAGGAAACAGCAAAGAATCATGATCCTCTTCTGCTAGAAGTTCACGATAGCTGCGACTAGGATATGTGCTTTATGCCTGGAAACCTGGATCAAAACTCATCGTGTTTGACCAGAAACAGCCAGTAATTGGTCTTTGACTTCCAAGTTGCTGGGTGGACTTAGGATTCTGCTTTGAGTAATTAAATGTCATAGAGCCTCTTTCTTTGCTCTAAACAGTGAGGTGCTCGTTGGGCAAATATAAAATCTAGGATTTGGCTGGTTCAATAAGACCAGGTATTTGTTAGGTGAATAGACTTGCCAACATTTATAGTTAAGTGTACGGAATTTCGTGTTGAATATCTGGTCCAAACCATAGTTTTTGCATTTCCATTTATTATCCGTCCGTCCTTTTTATTCGTTTACTAAAGTTGATGAGACTTGTACTGAAGCACAGAGAGTGGCATCTTAGTAATGCCCTAAGGTAATAGAATTTTATGATTAACTCGTTAATTTCCACTTTGTAGTTTTCCAGCCGCCTATTCGGATTGTTTGCAGCCATGTGAAATTGAAGATTCTAAAGTCCTGGAGTTCTGTTCTTTCCTCTTTTAGGTTCTCTTGTCTGAAATGAGTTGAATTATTTCTCTCTGTACTGTGAAGTAAAACTATCCATGATATATAAGGAATTTCGGATTTCTCGAGTGATGTTTTTTGGATCGTTAGCAGTTATGAAAATTGACTTGCTACATGTTCTTCTATGCCAGATTAAACAACAGCAGTCTGATGTTCCAGAACTGATGTAAATTTTCACAGGGACGCCCATATGTGCATCAAATTTCAATCTTGGATACAGATCAGAACGTGGGTTTCCATGAACTATGATTAATTAAAAGAGGTATAAATGTGAATTCAAGACGCAGCAAAGGTGGGGAGATTCATTGCCAAGAATACAAATAAAGTTCTTTTACTTTTTCTGATATCCTTTCACGATGAAACTTTCAAATGAAGATCTCGACCATTGACTTTCCTGAAGGAACTTGCTGCGTGGCTACTAGCTACAGAGTACAGAGTCGCCTTGGACATCAAGCATCAGCACTTCAAAAGAGGCAACTTTGGACTTTTGTCACCTTAATTGCTAAAATATATTCCTCTTATCTTAAAAATTAAAACCCTTTTAGCTAACAGGATTTCCATACCAAACCTGTTGCATATGTAATCATGTCGTTAAGTTGACTGGATGTTTAGGCATGCATTACTCCTCTCTTTCTCTGTAGACATGGGACGTAAATTTTTATTACTCCTCTTAAGGAATTTGACTGTCATGGTGCAGTTACATTTATTGCCCGTAAAAATGCTTATGATCACTGGAAATGACATATTCTTGCATGTATCGCGGTGTTTGGGTTAGTCGGACGGTGACAGGATCAGTAAAGCTACATTCAAGGACGTTAGTACGAGGATAAAATAATAGTATGGTTACGCAGGAAACAGGGAAATTGTGGGCTTTTTTTTTTATTTTTTATCACGGAGTAAACTACGGAGATCAGTCAAACTACTTTCGAATTTTGTATCCTTTGCTGATGTATTTGGAAAAGACTAATGGCGAAGCTTGATAGATACAATAATGGGTCAATCCAACATGGTTATGAGAAATTTGCAGGACGTAATCATGATTTAGAAAGGAGAAAACGTGTAGGAGGAGATCTTAGACTAATTTTTCAATGGGGAATACTGATTCTAATTCTGGCTCCCTCTACTTGGTCTAGTAGCTTGCAAGTTTGAAACTTAACAAGGAAGCAAAAATGGGGACAGAACATTGACGAGGTTGCAAGATGTAACCTTTTGAAATTTAAGTACAAAGTAGCTGTTCTAGAAGTTTGAATAGTAAATGATATTCTTCAACCACTTGTCCATTTGGTCAATCCAACCAAGCTAAGTTAAGGATTTCCACATGCACCCCCGCATGGAAAGCCATCAAAGATAGTTTTCATTTGTAGCATCAAATTTTCATTTTCAGCAGGTTCAGGAGACTTTACTCTGTGGGATATAAAAAATATATTCAAAAAAAAAAAACCGGAACAGGTCGCCAAGAAGTTATTTGATACATGTGTTTACATAGAAGGTAGTAATCCAAAGAAGTTAAAGGTGTTGAATTGGATAGAGTTTGCTGGAATGGGGTTGATGAGTGAGGCCTTTTCACAGACTCTGATTCCTGTGTGTGCTTTGATAGGCATTTTGTTTGCTTTAGTCCAGTGGTTTCTGGTTTCAAGGATAAGAGTAGCTTCAAGCGGTCCTGACAGTTACGAGGATCAGTTGATTGAAGAAGATGATGAACAAGTGGAAGGCATTGATTCGGCTGAGGTTGTTAACAAGAAGTGTGCTGAGATTCAAAATGCTATTTCTGTTGGTAAGACATCTCCGTGTCTCTCTCTTTTTCTTTCTGTGCACACTGTTGGGTATCTGTGTTTCTTTTTATCTTCTTCTTATCTTCTTTGATGATCCATCTATTGTGAAAATGGACGTACATTCTTAGACAGATTTCTAGTACTTTAGGTGTGTTTCTGGTTGTCCTTCATTAATGACCTTCTCCAGGAGTTCCGGTAGTTTCTAGTTCCCTTTATATAAACAGACACTACTCGTTCATCCTTTCTGCAGGTAATTCTGGTTAAACTGGTTAACCATATTTTGAGTTGCATGACATACCTGAGAAGGTTTTACAAACATATGTATTAAGATTTCGATTCTTCATGGTGACTTCAAACACAATGTTTATATGGAGAAAGGGATTGTCATCTATTATGACTTCAAACACAACATTGAACTAATTGGTTTGAAGTTTTCATACTTTTGATCCCTTTCTATTTTCGTTTAGAAACTTGAATACATCTTTGATACATCATTGGCGAGGATAAATTTCTGCAGAAGTTTAATATGAACATAATCAGAAACAAGATACACTAACTCTCTCCACGTCTGAAGAAATTTAAAAAACAGAATTACAAATTCGTGTCTTGTATCTCCAAAGGATACCTTTATCTAGGTTCTTTAAATTGCAATTCTTTAATTTGAAGCCATTGAAGTAGTAGAAAATTTGCAATCTTTTTTTCGGAACTTACTCTCCACATGATTTTTGGCAGGTGCAACTTCGTTTCTGTTCACAGAGTACAAGTACCTTGGAATATTCATGTTTGTATTTGGTGTAATCATCTTCATATTCCTTGGATCGGTTAAAGGCTTTAGCACCAAAAGTGAACCCTGCACTTACAATGAAGGAAATCTCTGCAAGCCAGCTTTGGCCAATGCTATCTTCAGCACAATTGCCTTCTGGCTTGGATCCCTGACATCGGTTCTCTCAGGTTTCTTAGGAATGAAGATTGCTACATTTGCCAATGCAAGGACAACTTTGGAGGCAAGGAAAGGAATTGGGAAGGCATTCATAACAGCCTTCCGTTCTGGTGCAGTGATGGGTTTCCTGCTTGCAGCCAATGGCCTCTTGGTGCTTTATGTATCCATAAACTTATTCAAACTATATTACGAGGATGATTGGGAGGGACTCTACGAATCGATCACTGGTTATGGTCTTGGAGGGTCTTCTATGGCACTCTTTGGAAGAGTTGGAGGTGGAATCTATACAAAAGCAGCAGATGTTGGGGCTGACCTAGTTGGCAAAGTTGAGAAGAATATACCCGAAGATGATCCCCGTAACCCAGCTGTAACTTCTCTCTTTATGCTTTTCCTAGAGGATCTCATTCATCTAGCACTAGTAGTATGTGTACCATTGTCAATCTGCCAATGTAGAAGGAACTATTTTAAATTACAAACGTGATCCCTTTGCAGGTTATTGCAGACAACGTTGGCGATAATGTTGGAGACATTGCCGGAATGGGTTCTGACTTATTTGGATCTTATGCTGAATCATCCTGTGCAGCACTCTTTGTTGCCTCAATTTCATCTTTTGGTATACACCATGACTATGCAGCGATGTCTTATCCTCTAATTATTAGCTCTGTGGGGATAATCGTTTGCTTGATAACAACTGTTATTGCAACTGATGTTGTTGAGATTAAAACTGTCAGTGAGATTGAACCATCTTTGAAGAGGCAACTTCTTATCTCAACTGTTCTTATGACTGTTGGGATAGCTGGAGTAAGCTTCCTTGTTTTACCATCAAAGTTCACTTTGTTCGACTTTGGGACTGACAAAGTTGTGAAGAACTGGTATTCATCTGGGACCTGATGTTTGTACTCTCTTCTTCTCGTCCATCTTGTATATGCAGTTTTATGATCCTAATGGGTACACTTACAGGCATCTTTTTTTCTGCGTTTCCATTGGCTTATGGGCTGGCTTGGTGATTGGATACGTTACTGAGTATTATACTAGCAATGCTTACAGGTAAGCTGTCTTAAATTGTCCTTGGCTTTCTTTCTGTGTGTGCTGTTAATTGGGACATGGCTTTCAGTACTTTTATTGGCCTCATTACCCATTTTATGTATTTGGTAGATCCTAAACGTGGACGCCATAAACATGAAACTGGTACTTAATATAGATTCCATCCATATTTTACCAGTCACTCTTGAGCATTAAGTAGACAAATTCTTGGTTGACATTTATTCACAACCTAATGCGTAGAGTATATGCATTCTCTTTGAACTCTTATCAGTTGCTTTTTTGCCCACTTTTGTTGAGAGAGAGAGATGATGTTTAATTGTGGATATATCAGTTCTTAAGTATACATAAACGGTTTCTGTAAAATCTTGCAGTCCGGTGCAGGATGTAGCAGATTCTTGTAGAACTGGTGCAGCAACAAATGTAATCTTTGGGTTAGCTCTGGGATACAAGTCTGTTATCATTCCCATATTTGCCATAGCCATTGCTATTTATGTAAGCTTCAGCTTGGCTGCAATGTATGGTATTGCAATGTCAGCTTTGGGAATGCTCAGCACTATCGCCACTGGACTTGCAATTGATGCTTATGGCCCAATAAGTGACAATGCTGGTGGTATAGCAGAAATGGCTGGAATGAGCCACAGGATTCGTGAAAGAACAGATGCTCTGGATGCCGCCGGAAACACAACAGCTGCAATTGGCAAGGCAAGTTCCTGATAGCCAAAAACTTGGTAGCATCAGTTTATGTAGAAACTGGGGAAATTAAGGATGGTAACTTTTACATATGGACTATAATGTAGCCAAAATGGTTTGGTAAATCAGTTATACAAGTGATGATAAGTGGTTTTCTGATTGCCAAAGCTGCTTTTGCAATATTGGGTGGTTAAATTAGTATATAACAAACTAACTCACGAAGAGAAATCCAGAAATTACTAATCCATGATCTGCACTCAACCGAGAGAAGATAACTAGGGTGACTAAGTAGTGAGCCTGCCATTTATGGCTTTCAAATCCTGGAAGTTCTTCTGAAGGCATCCTTCTAGCCCTTTGAGTTTGGGCAAAATCATTAAACTTATATGTCAAAAGATAATTCTTCCCAGAAGATTCACCAATCACATAGCTTCACAAGTCGCTCTTTTTATGTCCTAAAGAGAGAAGTTCTCAAACAGGCTTAATTACTCTGGTACATTCAGGGTTTTGCGATTGGATCAGCTGCTCTGGTTTCTCTTGCTCTCTTCGGTGCTTATGTAAGCAGAGCTGGTATCAAGACTGTTGATGTCTTGACTCCAAAAGTCTTCATTGGCTTAATTGTTGGGGCCATGCTTCCTTATTGGTTCTCAGCAATGACAATGAAGAGCGTAGGAAGTGCAGCACTGAAAATGGTCGAAGAGGTCAGGCGACAATTTAACACCATGCCTGGGCTTCTAGAAGGAACAAGAAAACCAGACTATGCAACATGTGTAAAGATTTCAACCGATGCTTCGCTCAAGGAAATGATACCACCAGGTGCTCTTGTTATGCTAACACCATTAATTGCTGGTACTTTATTCGGGGTCGAAACTCTGGCTGGTCTGCTTGCTGGCTCCCTTGTTTCTGGTGTTCAGGTATACTTGTTATTCTGAACCGCTTACCTGAATAGCCAGCCATATCTGTCTTTGAAAGTTGCATTGTGAAACAGTACTATTTATGCGTGATGTATAAATGATCATGTATACTTGGTGTTATTATCCTTTCTTAGGTAGCCATCTCCGCTTCTAACACAGGAGGGGCATGGGACAATGCCAAGAAGTACATAGAGGTAAGATAATCTGCCTCGATCAAACCCTTCAAGGTGTCGTTTTATCATTACCTATTGTGATGGATACTGATTTTTCTGCCCCAATCGGGTTGCTTGCTTGCTGCAGGCTGGTGCTTCAGAACATGCTCGAACACTGGGGCCTAAGGGATCAGATGCTCACAAAGCTG